GAATAGAATAGAGCAATAACTTTATTGTCACTTTGAATATATACTAATCAGCCTACATTAAAATGAAATTTCATTGCATTCAGCTCTCAAAGTGTCACCAAGCTCCAATATGCACTACATAAACATGACAAAATAAATACAGAATTATGCATATAAGCTGCATATATTATATGATGCAGAGAAACAACAGGAGAAAAAGGAGCAGCCCAGAGCATTTTCAAAGCCTTGTTTTTTTTAAAACAGCAACAACAACTGCTAAGCCTTCATTCAGTTTCAGTTTCAAAAGGAATTTTCCCTCCAGATTATGATAACTGGACGGTCTGCAGACAATTTTAAAAAGCAAGATGAAATGCTAGGCGGACATAAAGTATTTTATTTGAGCATTCATTTTGTTTTCTTATGGAGAAATGATTCCTCGGGCCTTACCTGATGGGAACCCTATACTGTAATTAATCACAGCACTTTCTCTGCAAGGGCACTCCTCGACTTACAACAGTTCATTTCGTGACCATTCAAAGTTATGACCTCACTGAACCAAAAGTGACTTACGACCATCGTCACAGGATCAAAATTCAGATGCTCGGCAACTGGCTCGTATTTATGACGGTCCCAGAGTCCCCGGGGGGGTCACGAGATCCCCTTTTGCTGACAAGCCAAGTTGGTGTGGGGAAGCCAGAACCGTGTGACTAACTTAACTCTAATGATTCCCTTAACAACGGTGGCAAGAAAGATCGTAAAACGAGGCAACACTCACTTGACAAATGTCTCGCTCAGCCACATAAATTTTGGGTTGAATTCCGGGTCCTAAGTTGACCTGTACATTTGACCCTGCTTTTCTAAATCTAACTTCCACTGACACCATTTCATTTAAAAGTTGTGAAAGGAAACAGAGAGTTCAGAAATAAACTGATCCCTGCTTTCCTCCTGCGAAGATTTTCACTGTCATTTTCTTAGATTGCTAACACCCAACAATGTAGCAACTGTGTTATAAACACAACCTTAGACTTGTTTAGAAAAGCCAACATTTCAGGCGATTTTTTGATTCCTGGCAATAATGTTCTTTTTCTTTTTCCCTTCCCTTTTTCATTTGCTAAGATCCTGTTTGCCCTTATGAAATATTTCCAAGAAAGAACCCGGGGGCCTATTAAGTATGAGTAACAATACTGGTGAACTGTGATCATGACATTAAACTCTCAATTTACCTGCCTTGAACTTAGCATGCAGTTCCTGGAGATATTTGTCTCCAGGCTCAGCCCTTCCTTCCCCAGCCATATTTGAAAGTCAGATTCAACTGAGTTTTCAACCCCTCCACCCAACAAGAACACCTGTTATACAACGCAGAAAAAAAAAAAGTGGACCCCAGAAGGTTTTGCATGAGGTTTCCGGCTGGGCAAATCTCTCTATTTCCCTTCTGGAAATAGAAATAGAAATAGAAATAGAACTCCCAGCCACGGAGCCAAATTGCAACCATTGAACGGCCCACCTCCCCAAATTTAATTCGCCGGTTCGGGTCGGCGCTTTGAAGGGCGATGCCAATCCGTGCCATGCCCCCGGTGGGAGAGGAGGAGGAGGAAGGAGGGCGCCGGGATCTGATTTGAGATCCTTCCGGGAGAGTAGATCTTAAAAGAAAAGCGGATCTCCCCTTGCAAAACTCTGCGCGTGGGGGGGGGGGGGGAGAGACCCCATATATCTTTGAAACTTTAAGGTGGGCAACGTTTGGGGGGGACGGAGAAGGGAGCGCAGCCCTTTCCAAATCCACCAAGCCCTTGGGGGAAGAATAGCCAAGGGGACCCCTAGAGGCAGCATCAGGGGACCCCAACCCCTCCCTCTAGAGTCCCCTCCCTCCCCCTCCCCCCCCCCCTCCCCCCTCCCTCCGGGCCCGGCCAAGGACTCACCTGCATGGATGAGTTTGAAGCTCTGAGATTTTCTGCTGCGCTTCCTGGCCGAGAACTCCATGGCGCGCCGGAGGAGGAGGAGGAGGAGGAAGAAAGGAAAGGAGGAAGAAAGGAGGCTCAGAAGGATCGCGGGGAGGAGCCGCCAGGACCTGGGACCGCCGCCGCCGCCGCCGAGCGAGGCAGAACCGGCTGCGGGGCTCTCATCGGCCCCGGCGCGCAACGGGCCGAGGAGGCGCCCCGGGGCTTCTGCTGCGCGCCCCGCCGGCAACTTTTGCCCAACGGCGCCTTCCCCGCCGTGGCATCCAGCCCAAACTTTGGCCCGGGCCGGTGTTGCGGGAGCCTCCTCGCCTTTTGCCTTCCTTGCTCGGGGGGGAGGAGAAGGGCAGCAGCGCGCCCGGCCCGGCTTTGGCTTTGGCGAGGCGAGGCTCTGTTGGCTGCGCACAGGGCGCCGCAATGGCTCGCGGGTTGGCCCTGCCGGAGCTGCTGCGCCTGGGCTCCCGGTGCCACCTGCTGGGGGAAGCCGGCCTGCCAGGCACCACAGCGCACCCCGTGGCGGCTCCGGAGCCCGGCGGGGGCAGAGCTGAGGGCGGGCCCCGCCAAAGCCAACGGGGGTGGGTGGATGGGAGAAGGGGGCTTCAAGGCGAAGGATGGAGAGGCCGGGCGCGCGTCTCCCTTGGGCGTCCGGCCTCTCCATCCCGGGGACCTTGGCAAGACCGCAGCCCCGCCTCCCGTTTGGGCCGGCCGGGGGGCTCTTCGCGCGGGACCGCGGGGGAGGAGGGGGGGCTGCCCCGGGGGAGAAAGACCCCCCCCCACCCCCCCCCCCCCCCCGCCGGGAGCCGCGCGCGCCCTTCCCCTCTCTCTCTCTCTCTCTCTCTCCCCCACCCCTGGCTGGCTGAAGAATTGGGGAGGGGAGGAAGGGGCGAGCTCCACACGGGAGAGGCGAGCCCCCCCGAAGGGGCTTTGGGGGTGCGCCCTGGCGAGAGGGGAGGGCTCCACGCGCTGGAAAACGCGCCCCCTCCCCGTTTCTGCCAAGCAAGCAGCCCTTTCCAGGCGACCCCTCTGGGCTATGGGGGAAAAAAGGGGTCTTCCACGCCAGTTTGGATTCGAAGGCTCAGTTTCCGTGGGGTTTTCTGCAACCCCCATTAAAAAATAATAATAAGAATCGAGTACACGTGTAAAGAGTCCCAAGGACGGGAGCTTCCGCCTGAAACAGCCCCTGCAAGGCGGCCCACGCGGGAAACCACGAGGAAAACACTTCTTTTTTGAGAGGGGGGGTGTCTCTTGAGAAAGGACTTGGATGCAGCGAGGGGGGGCGGGACGGAGGGTCCTTTGGGAAAGGGGTGCAAAGAAACTCGGGGGGGGGGGAGCTCGTGCCCACGTGTTTGAAGGGCCCGCCCTTTTTTACACGTGTCTGAGCACACGCGCAACGAGGGCGGGCGTCTCTTAATGGGTTTTTGGTTTGTTTGTTTTTTTAAACTTCTGTTGAGATGCGAAATGTGCTTTTTCAGCAGGTTGAAATGCACTTCTCCGGCTGACTTTGACTCCCTAGAAATAGACAGAAGGGAGAGAAAAATGAAAGTCCTCGGTTTTTCTTTAAAATCGAAAGCGGGACCAAAATATTCAAGTCACATTTCCTGAAAGGCACTGGAAATTTCCAGTCCTTTTCTCGCTCTCTTTCCCTTGGAGAAAGAAAGAAAAAGAAAGAAAGAAAGAAAGAAAGAAAGAAAGGGGGAGATCTCGTTTTCTCTCTATCTATCTGTGTCTATCTATGTATATCTATCTATCTATCTATCTATCTATCTATCTATCTATCCATCTATCTATCATCTATCTTAATTTGTTAAAGAAATAGTCAACATACAAGCAATACACACAAAACAACTGGGGAGAAAGGAAATTCAAGGAGACAATGTATCTTATATTAATCAAAACTAATTCATGGATTTCCATGTCATCAGTTACATTGTAAATGTTTTGATTCAGTTGACTTATAGATAAATGTAGCCCATTTTCTAAAATCCGGTCTCCAATCGACATTTCTCTGAAGAAAAGGAATAACTGCCCATTTTCCATATTTGAAAATAAATAAATAAAAAGGAACGATTCCACAATTTGGAAGATAAAATAATGTCTCACTTTTCATCTTATGACCTGCTAAAGAATTTGTTTTCTACAAAGGCATTTACAAATCCAGAATTAAAGGGTGCACGTGAGAAACTTGACCAACAATGAAGTTATTCGCATGAAAAGTGTATTCAAATATTTCATCTGGCTTGAAACACAGTGGTACATTGTTTTACACCCAGCAGGAACCAAAGGCAAGGAAAGATGACATTTTTCAGAGATAGTATTTCGTAGAAAACAGGACCACCAATAAAATTAAAAAATGTACACCTTAGAGCAGACGCTAAGATTAGATTGGTTGATGAGAACAATTGCTTTCAACACAATCAGATTCGAAAGATCAAAGCAATCATACATCAAAGTCAACTAAATTAGTAATGATAACTTGAATTCTTCACTGGAGCCTGAGCCAGATGTTATATTCTTTACCCTATATGACTTCAAATGTATTCTTTTTTTGTTTTCGTTGTATGGTTGCTGCAAATTTTCCAACTCTTTCCAGATCATAATTTTACTGCCCTCTCATCGCCCCTTCTAATATAGGCCAGCCTTCATTTCTCATGACAATTGGCCTTCCCAGGACATTAAGGAGAATAAGGTATTTTATACTTACACCTTATGAACATAGCAACATGGCTCTGAAACTGAAAAGCAGAGAAA